AACCTTGCTGCTATGTACGACATCTACAGCGCACCCGTTCCCAATCTTGGCAACCAAACTTTCCTAGTAACAGTCGGCAACGTCGTCGGCGGCGGGTCCTATGTGAACGGAATGCAGTTTGACAGAGGTGCTGATGCAGACTATGACGCGTGGGGCCAGCTCGGAAACAAAGGATGGGATTGGAAGGGGCTGAAACCATACTTCATGAAGAGCAACGACTTCGATGCGCCTTCGAAGAAGACAACCAAGGCTTTTGGTATCACCTATGATGCCAAGGCTTACGGAAATGGCCCGCTGAAGGTGTCGATACCGGACTACCAATTCCCCGATATGAAGACTATCTATCACTCCTGGGATGATGTCGACATTCCGCACCCACAGGAGGGCTTTGCAGAGCCTGTCGGTCACTACTGGTCACCGAACTCAATCAACAAGGCGACTGATATGCGTAGTACATCGCGCACTGCGTACTACGATCCCATTGTGTCGAGGAAGAACCTGAAACTTTTAACAAACGCTCATGTCGATGAGATTATGTTCTCAAAGAACAGAGTAGGCGCCTTAACCGCCACGGGCGTCAAGTATACTCCAAAAGACACCAACAAGCAAGTCGAAGCCACTGCCGCAAAAGAAGTCATTCTTGCTGCTGGTGGCGTGTTTACACCACACTTGCTCATGTACTCTGGCATTGGCCCAAAGGACGTTCTGAAAGCTGCCGGTGTCACCGTTAAGAAGGTAAGCACGTCAACCTCGAAAAATTTGAACAGGGCTGGAGCCTACATCGACGTTAGGACACCTACTTTGCAGGTTTCCATGTTGATGTAGGCTGCAGACCTGTTCAGAATTCTCCTTGTATGAGGTGTAAGGATGGTGGTGATGATCCTGAGACCTGTGCTGACATTTCCTAGGATCTCCCAGCCGTGGGTTCAAATTTCCAAGACCACATCGCCAACTACATGAACTTTGACCTTCAAAACCTGAATCCAGAGAACATGAACGCCCTCGGCACAGATTCATCCTTCAACCAAACAGCTTACGATCAGTACTTGAAGTCGCGCACCGGCCCATACTCTGTTGGCAAAGCCAACGGTCTCGTCTTCATTGCACTACAACACTTCGATTCCTCGTTCAAGAAGACTGTTGCCAAGATACGATCTCAAGTAGCTTCCAACTTCCTCCCGGGACGCTACGCAAAGGACAAGAAGCTTCTCGCCGGTTTCAAGAAGCAGCGCGACATCCTTGCGAAGCAGTTCTCCGGCACTGACGCCGCTGTAGGCGAACTTGTCATCCAGCCATGGGGTTTCTCTGGTATCGCGAACAACAAGCCCTTCTCACGAGGCACTATCACACTCAACAATACACATCCTGCCGCCTATCCGATTGTCCAATGGAACACGTTCCAGAACCCTGTTGATGCGGATGTTATGGTAGCCCTTACACGATACAACCGCGCACACTGGGCGTCCAAGGAACTTGCGCAATATAACCCTGTGGAGACAGCTCCTGGCCCTCAGTACCAAACCGATGAGGAGATCATCCAGGGCGGTGTTGCCTCGGGCTCACTACAACCCACATTCGCGCATCCCAGTGGTGGGTGCAGTATGATGCCTGAAGAGCTTGGTGGTTGTGTAAGTGATGAATTGCTGGTGTATGGAGTCAAGGGATTGAGTGTTGTGGACGCAAGTATCATTCCGATGATTCCTGCGACGCATCTACAGGCCACTATGTACGCGATTGCGGAGAAGGCGGCGGATATCATCAAGAAGAGGGCCTAGGATAAGAATAGCTGATACGTGACCGAAAATGCATTTACTCATGTCTTACAATGAGCTTTCAAACTACACTCGTCAAGAGACCCGATGTTCGACTCAGGATCGATCGTCTTTAGGGTTTGATAAAGCCCGATTTCGCTTCCGCACAGATAATCTCAACCGCCTTCTCCGCGAAAGCATAGACAGCGGTCAAGATGTTCCCTCGTGGTATAATCGGCAAAACACTAGCGTCGCAAACCCTCACATTCTTCGTTCCGTATACTCTCAGTCGTTCGTCAACAACGCCCCCTAGGTCCTCTCTCATCATCGAGCAAGTGCTAGAAGGATGGTAGTTCGTTGCCGAATTGATAGGAAGGATCCCTTTCGCATCTTCAAGCGACGTCACTGGGTGGGGAAAGCTTCGAGGCAATCGTCTTCCATTTGGTTTTGCCATAGCAGTAAAGACAGGCTTTTGGAAGAGCCTCTCAATGAGACGGAGGTGGCGAGCGAAGATCTCCACGTCAAGAGGATGCGATAGGTAGTTAAACTTGATCTCTGGCTTGAGCGAAGGATCGGAGGAGATATGACAGTTTCCGCGCGAGAATGGATGCGCCAACATGGCAACAATGGTGATGTAGTTGCCATCGACCACAGATGGCGTGTTTGGAGGCATCGATTCGAGGTCTCTGTGACGCTGTGAACGCAGCATGAAGGTCGTGGCTGTTGCTTCGCTAGGGCTCTCGACGGCCTTTTGGATGACGGAGTACTGGGCTTTGAGGCTGGGGTTGCTCTCTGCTTCCACCGAATGCTTGACCATTGCAACCAGTTCCTCCGTCTCTGAGTGAGTTTCTAGTAACTGCAGTGGCGTGAAAGCGAAACTGTACGCTCCTCCTTCAGCCAGTCGACCCGTGCGACTTTTCCCGTACTCTTCTAATGCCGCCCTTTGCACCATAGGGTCTCGTAGTCCGTCGTCACGAGTTGGAGTGTCGTCTCCAGCTTCGATGGACAGACCGCAGTTCAGATGATCCTGCAAGTTCTCGCCGACGCCTGGCAGCTCGTATAAGAGTGGGACATTCGCGGCCGCGAGGACGTCTTTGGATCCAATACCTGATCGTTCCAATAGCGCGGGAGACTCGAATACGCCTGCGCAGAGGATAATCTCTCGACCATCGATCAGATACTCCTCGCCTTCGTGTGTGAAGTGAACGCCCGTGGCATTAAGCTTCCCTTCGGCGGTCAACGCCTCGTCAAAAGCAATCTTGTCGACCTTTATGCCGGTTCTTATTGTCACATTGCCCCGTTTCAAGGCGGGCTCTAGGAATGCTTGGCCTGCGTGGCTTCGCTCGCCTTTTGATGAGTCGATCGCATTGGTGACAGTGACTGCGCCAGCATTGCTCTCGGCAAATCCTGTAGTGCCCGTCGGATGACCTAGCTCCTCAAAGGCTTCCGTCCAGCGAGATTGGAGATAGTCCATGGTACGCGGGTATGATGTCTTTATACCATCGTCAAGTTTGGGTTCGGGGTGTTCTGCCTGCCATCGGCTGTAGCAATCTCCCATGCTCTTTGCACTCCACTCTTCTTTCCCCGGATCTGATAAGAGCTCATTCGCGATACGGTCTTGCCATTCGTGATTAGGGAACACCACACTATGACTATTGATCGCACTGGTTCCCCCCACCAACTTCCCTCTCGGATGCTTCACTCTCCTGTTGTTCAGACCTGGCTCCGGCACGGAAATGTATTGCCAGTCGTACTCAGATGACATCAGTTTTGCCGATAGACCGGGCGTTTGGACTATGGCGTCGTCGCGAACATGTTCCCCGGCTTCCAGAACGAGGATTCGGCGATCGGGTAGCCGCTGCGAGAGACGTGACGCGATCAAGCATGCTGCTGATCCTGCTCCTACCAGAATGAAGTCGAAGGTCTCGGCCTCGGCGGTGTGATCTCTGCCTGGCATTGTTAGAGCAAAGACGGTGGATGTTGAGAGATGGGAAGCGTGAAGCCGCGCATGGCTATACGACCACTCCATAATATGGTTAAGCATTGCGCCCTGACCGAACAGCAGATAAGCACTACAGTATACTAGCAGAGTTAGGTAGGTGTAAATGAACATCAGGAGCCTCATGCGCGCCTGGCGCTTGTGCCATTCGTTCAAGAGGAGCCTAGGCCCCCAGACCCGCTGCTTCAGTAGTAGTACGTGCAAACTACATTAATTTACCCGTCGAATCAGGCCACTATTGGCAGTAAAAAAAGAATGCGTACTGATAGCATGCATCTAGAACTTGAACTACGTGTCTTAGATGTCGTGAGAGGAGGAGTTTGCGGGGTTAACGGTAACGGCGTGAAAATCAGGGTCCACGGCAGCACGTGGGCCGCTGCTTCCACGTGTGGGTGACAGCGGCAGGTGCAAAACTAACCACAACGTACAGCCGTGGTAGAAGATGCAAAAGCCAGACTAGATCCTAGACAGCACCATAGCATCCGCACATCAGTTGGTTGGAATACGTAAAGTACCGCCATATTCAATTGTTGTGTGTGCAGACATGGCCCCAGGGCTGTCACCATTGCCCACAGTCTGATCACGCCTGATGTACCGTGTCTCTGCCCTGCCTTCGAGTATGACGAATGCCCTCGTGCATATTGCTCCACCAAAATTGATGCGCAAGCGATATAGGTTCTGTGGACGACAGTCTATCCACCTAGGTATTATCGGCGGTCTCGGGGATACAGGCTCGAAAGAGGTGCGATACCACTGGCAATGGCAGGGAAACGCTCGAAACGAAGAAGTCGTCTTTGTTGTTGGTGCCGTTGCGTGCTAATGCGTTTGTTGACGAGCGTAGCTAGAGAGCTTGTAGGGGATGGCTGGTACGAGGTTGGACGTCACAGGCTCGACCTAGGCGCATCAGCTCGTCCAGCCAGGTTGGGTGCGCGTTGAAGTCGTGCGGTGCTGGCTCGAGCGAGGCCCACACATTGCGCACGTTGATACTTCACGGTGGAAGTATCTCTTCCCCAAGACAAGCAAAGTGATGTCTTTGGTGATGGGCGTAGGGCGCGTATTGGGTTGAGGAAGCAATTGTCGTGGCAAGGGGAGCTGCCTGGGCGCAGCGCGTTGGAAGCTATTAACGCGTTTGAGCACGGATCACATTAGATATATGTACCAACACCGATCACTGTTCGTCGCGTCCGTCAATTCTCAGACTATTCGCATCGTTCAATCTATGTAACACACAAAGAAACGCATATCGCATTCTATGTACGACCCATGGCGGCTTGATGGTATGCGCTCTTCTTTCTGATCGTCGGCCCATAGCGATAGAAGATCCACGGGATAGGCGCCATAGCCGTGGCGACGAAAGCCAACAGACTAGTTCCCCACGGTACACCCAAGCTCTCATACAACCGTTTCGAGAAGAGCGGAAATGCTGCACCAAAGAGTCGGCACAGAAGTCCATTTGCAGCAAGGGCACTTGCCCCGTATATACCATAGCAATCGGTAAGATACGCAGCAATATCCAGAAAAGCCGTCAGAAGACCGATACCCAGCGGAACCCCAGCCAGAATGGGCACGACAGCCGGTACAGACGCTGTTGCCGTCCATGCGAACCAGAAGAGCCCAATAGGTGTTAGCCATGTGAAAGCTATCTGCAGTGGGAAGCGTGCTTCAGGCTGCGGACCTAGTTTGCGCACAAAATGTGTATGGGCGCGATTTAGCAGAGGTGATAGGATTGTTGGAAGAGCCATTCCCATTGCCAGGCCTGTGTATCCAACGCTCATCTTGGCAGTTGACCAGCCTCTGTATTCCTTATAGACGATGGGATAGGCGACGAGTACGAGACACATGATTCCGTATAGGAATGCCATGTACGTTGACAAGGCCCACACGATGGGCTCGGTGAAGAGCATAACCCATGGACGAACCAGGTTATCGCGCGCGCGTTTCTTCCAGTCAACATTGGAGAGGTTGCCACCAGCTTTGATTTGCTTCGCGCGGACCAGTTGTGGGGCGTACGTTTCTGGGAGGAAGAGGAGGGCGCAGATGTAGGTTATGCCGCCGAGGATCATGGAAGTCCAATAGCCCCTTACGGTATTGTTAGACATTGTTGAGAAGTTTCGTAGGAGAGGGAGTTGCTCACCATTGCCACGAAGCGTACTGCGTAATAGGTCCGCCACAGATGGGGCCGATGACAAAACCTAAGAAACTTGCTGCGGTAAAAAGAGCGAGTGGGACAGCTCGCTCATGTGGAGCCCACATGTCAGTGAGGGAGCCTGCCGTGTTGGTAACTGCAGGATATTAGCACAGTATGGGTGCCATCTCTCTCTATTCGTTCTCGTACCTGTCGGCGCTCCCAAAAGGCCTCCCAAGAAGCGGAAGAACAACAGTGTCTCGATGTTAGGCGCTAACGCGTCTCCGATATTGGATATGACGAAGAGTCCAAACGCGACTCTGAGAATCGGGTTTCTTCCCAGCATTTCAGACAACGGTGCGAAGAAGAGAGGACCAATAGCAAATCCGAGGAGAAAGAACGACACCGCAGACGTGGACGCGAGTACCGAACATCCGTAGAAATCTGCGACTGCCTGGATCGAGGCAGCATGCACACCGGAGTAGTAGCCCATCGTTGCGGACATCAGGATCACGATAATGGACAAGGGCCATTTGCGCAGTGCCGACCAGTTGAGCGGGTTCTCATCGCCGACCAAAGCCTGTGAACTAGCTCTCTCAAGTGCAGTGCTATGAGTCGAGACATACGAGTCCGCTGAAACAGGTAGAGGTGGTTTAGACTCCATGGCGACGAGAGTGAACGAGACGATGTGCGCTGAGCATCTTCGTCACGATTTGGAACGACCAAGTAAAAAGATGCAGCGCAAACGAACCTCAGTGCTGGGGACACGGTGAACATGCGATTTCGCGCACGGACGTCGCACGTCATCGCGATGGGTGCCTATTGTCGCACAACAATAACCAGAACAAAGGAAGAGGCACAGTCATCGCCCAAAGAAGACAGGCGTAGCGTTTACAGCGTGAGGGATAAGGAAGCGAGGCGTGTAGAGAGATTAGCGCATGGTTTCGTGCACATATCGGCGATTGCCCCGCACTAAAACCGCGCTAGCCCTTCCCGCGGACCCTGCCGCTGCACCTCGTTCTAACTACATCTCTCTTACAGACTTGTTAATTACCTATATCTCTACAATAAAATATTAAAAGCTAAGCACGCATTTGCATCTAGACAGCGTCACTATATTTAAAGAAAAAACGATACGCTAAGAGATTCTTAGATAACGCCTGCACACGCTGCATTCTTTAGAGCGTTCTGGCGATGCCAAATGTAGTAGGATACTGTTTGTACTACGATTTGCTAACAAACTAGATCTAGCGCCATTTTCCTTGATTGGCTCAAAAACCGCATAATATTTCGAAAACTGTTGGTTAGGATTCTATCACGTGATTCACCCACGCTAGCACTAGCGTCGCCCTAGTAGTATTTATACAGGGCTTCCTCCCTCTTCTATAGAACAATCACATCTCTTCTTGTTCTACAAAAACAACCTATATTCAGGGTTTCTCGAGGGATTGATGGCTATGGCCAACGATCCCCTCGCCCATTGATAATAGAAAGAGCCAGCGCACATCCAATCCTCCTATTCCTCACTCAAAGGAATATCGCGGCCGCACTTGTCCGCCCAGTACGTTCCAAGGGCGATGAGCATCCAGCTATCTGCGTTGTCATACGCTTCTTCGCCATCATTCTCCGCCAAGTCTGCGCATCGCGCCGATCCGTATGCGTAGTCCTGAAGTCGAGGCTCGAAAACTTCCACGCATACTTCTGCCTAGAGGGGTCGACTAGGAAAATCAGGGGGCCAAATACAAAAAATGGGGCCGAATATGATTCTCCTAAGGATTCGCTGCTGAGCGTTTATTTTGGGTGCTCCAGCGAACCAAGTCGTTTCATGATTGTCAGCTGCATCTTACTCGGCCCCATCAACGACTTTGAACTTCAGCCCGCTTTCCTCTGACTGGATAGGAATCGGTATCCAGCATTTTGAATCCTCCTTCTTGTTGAGGATGATCCCTTCCCAATCCTGCGCGGTGGAAACAGTCAGCAACTGCCCGACATTGGATGGCCAACCCTAACAATAACTCGGTGACGTACCTTCAACCCGCCATACTTCCAGCTCCACAACGTCTTCGGATTACCAACCGTTCCACTTGGCGCCCAACGCAACCAATAATCCCGCCCAGAGCTGACCCCTCGTTGCCAAGCAACAGCCTGATCAAGCTGTAACGTCACGCGCCGGCTGACTTCTTGTCCGGGAAACAGCTCAATCCATCCCTCAGCCTCGCTGACAACATAAGTCTGCGCCGCTGCGTAATGGCTATCGCTCGAATCGATGAACCGCCCGTTTGCATCTCTTGGCCGCCGTAAACTCACATTGCGCCATTCAAAGGGAAGGCGATGTTCAGGGAGGTTCTCAGGCGAAGCACAGATCTGGTACTGGCCCCAGTACACTGCGTTCTCGGATAGTGGGCCTCCAGCTTTAGGACCAAGCAGGTGTAGAACGATTGGCTGGCTAGGTACAAATTCAGGAGTCATTGTGTAGCATAGCGTCGCCGTGAAATCCAAGGTTCCATCCCTGAGAGACAGAGTGCTGGCATCCGAGAGTCGAAGCGTGAGGCGAGGACATACGGCACTGTACACAACATCAGATCGGAGGAACCCCTTTCATAGACACATAATAGACACCCGAGATCAGGTAGAGAATAAGGAAGCGCCGGTAGAGAGAACATACAGTTTCTCCTCCTGCAGCGCGCTCTTCTGGCTCCGATACTCCTCCAACGCACGTCGATTCTCCGTCTCCCCCGCTTCATGCCGAAGAGACTCTTCATCACGCTGTACAATCCTCGTCGACGGTCTTTCAGGCCAAGGGGTTTGCAGTATTGCGGGAATTGAGGGCACCATCGTGTAGATGGCAGTATTGATCTTAGGAGCTTGACTTAGCCCACAGTATCGGTCTTGGGTATACGTCGTAAAAGCTTAAGACTTAAAAAATTCCGTACAACAAATATGTGGTGTTCCAGAGATGAGGAAAACGAATAATCTTGCTGTGTCGTGCTGGGCAGGATATATCACTGTGGCACGTTGGTGCGGGGCGCTGATTGGTCAGATTCTACGTTATCAAACCTGTTCTTGGGTTAGTAGCTGGCGCTACACGAGTCTGTAGGTGTAGGATACAGAACAGAAAGAAAGGCACAACAGGCGGCACCTAGGTGCAGAGAAAAATTAAACACTTACTTAAAGTTTACAACTCTATAACATTATAATAATAGCCTTTTAAAGAAATAAAAATCTTTATAAAGAACTTACTCTATATAAAACTATAAGGTAAAGCTTCTTAAATAATTCTAAGGCTTTTTATTTTATTATATAATATATATTAATAGTTTAAGCTACTTCTTAGTATTATAATAGTATTTAATTTTTCTCTATACCTAAGTAGTAGATAGAACTAAAAGAAGCGTATAAGAGAAAGATTACTCTTATTATTAATATTAGTAAATTTATTAACGTCTATCTAATTAGTGTCTAGCTCTATACTATTATATATTAGATCTAGTATAATTACTATTATAGAAGAAACTCTTAACTAGTAAATATTATTATATATTACGTAGTATTTATAAAGATATAGAAAAGGTAGAGTAAGTAGAGATAGAGTATATAACTAAAGCTATATATCTAAGATAAGATATAAAAAGAGAATAGAATAATATAATAAGAATTAAAGTTTAAATAATAATATAGGCTATAAAAGAGAAATAAGAAAAGAAGAATAAAGTCTCTATTAATATTACTCTAGATAGTAAAAAAGAAGCCTTTAATACTCTACTAGTAGAATAACCTTAGATTAGGTTAGTATTTACTTATAGTGTTTAGAAGAGTAAGTTAAGTTATAGATATACTATAGTATTTCTAATAGAAAACTAAATTAGCTCTTAGACTTATTTAACGCTTACACTAGCTAAGGTAGAAAAGCTAGAGACGCTTCTACTTAGACTATAGCCTACATAATTAGAGAGGTTTTATAGTAAGTTAGTATCTAGAAATAGTATTATAAACTACTAAAATTAGTAGCTAAATTACTATTAGATTATTTAAGATAGTAATAAGAATAAGATATAGCTTTTATCTAATAAGAATTATCTATCTATATACTACTTTTAATAACTAAAAGATTTTAATAAATAAAAGTATATAAAAGAGAACTATAAGAATAGTAGTACTTACTTACTTAATTATATAAAAGATTAGTAGAATTAGTACATTTTTTATTCTTTTTAAAGCTTATACTAAAAAGTATAAACTTACTTTAGTATAGATACTAAACGTACCTAGACTAAGATTAAAATTATAATTATATAACTATATCTATTACTACTTTATACGCGTTCTTTAAGTAGCTACTTATTTACTCTAAGAAAAAGAAAGATAAAAAATATTAAGAGACTAAGTTTACTAGTTCTTTAGAGATATATTAGAAGATTTTCTACCTAGTGTATAAAAGAGTAACTAGTGTAAAACTAGATAGAAAAATAAACTAAAGTATATATAAGGTATAAAAAGCTACTTTTCTAAATTTAGTATTATATAAGTATTTATATCTAATATAATTAATAGATACTAAGAAAGCTAGTAAAAAAGTATAATTTAAAAAAGATTAGTTAAGATAAGGCTTATATATATATTAAGAATCTAGTATAAGTACTATAAATAAATTTAGTAATAACTAAAAAAAAATATCTCTATAGACACTATAAAATATAAGTCTAGCTCTATCTATAACTAGGTAGATTTATAGTAAATTAGCTCTAGACTCTTCTTAGTCTCTACTACTAGTATATATAAGTTATACTACTATAGAATTCTAAGAGTAGCTCTTATTAAGTACTACTAGAGTTTACCTTTAAATTTATAAAGAAGTTTCTTAGTATTAAAAACTTATATATAATTATTTTATACTAGAACTTATACGCTTACTAACTTTTTTCTAAGAAATATCTTTTCTTTCTCTAAAATTATATATAATAAAATACTTCTCTTTAGTTTATATATCTTTCTTCTTAGCTTACTTTTTTATAATTAGGTATTTATAGCCTATAATCTAATCTCTTTAGAGAAATTAAGTAGACTAATAATTCTACTAGACTATAATAAGCTACTATTATAACTAAATTAGATATTAGATAATATTTCTATATTTTAGAAAGTAGTACAAACTTTATATAGTTAGAGTATCTCTTCTAATAAGCCTCTTTCTTACTCTATTTTACTACTATAGATCTAGACTTTAAATAAGATTATAGAGTTTACTTAAGTTACTTATCTTTATTTACTTAGATATACTAGAGAGAAGGCGTTTAATAAAAATAGTAAGTTAATCTATTCTATATAAGACGTATAATATAGAATATAGAATTAATATAGTATATAAGTAACGTTAGTAAGACTATATAAAACCTAATAATAGACTATACTAGTATATTAACGTTCTTAAAGTATTACCTATTATAATATATTATAGTTAATACGTAGACTATTATATAAAGTATCTAGCTCTAGCTAGCTCTTATATAAGTAGCTTATACTATAAGCTATTTAATTAATTATTACTAGCTATAATAACTTATATAGAAATAGTCTATATCTATAGATAATAACTTTTTTATCTATTCTCTACTTAACTAATAAAAGTAACTTAAACGTATAGTTCTAAATATAATAAAACTTTCT